CGCCAAATTTTAGCCCGATCGGATCAGCCGTTTAGAAATGCCAGATTTCTTTCCAAAAAATTTCCATTCTGCCCCACTGTGCCAGAGACCTGCGCCGAGCGGCTCATAGCCGGCTAAGCCGAGCCGCCGAGCATTTTTAAAAGTCGCCGCCGCCGATTTTTTTCTCAGCTAATATTGGCTGACTTTTAGCCGCCGTTTGGTTTCAATTTTTTAACCATTAAAAAGTTTTTATTTTCAAGTTTTTTCTTAGTTTATTTATTTCTATTTAGTAAACATATTTTTAAAATATATAATTAGGAATACTAAATATATATGGGTTTGTTTTTACCTTTGTTCATATTTCTTATAGTTTTTTAATATGGCAACACTTGTAAGTATTAATCATAAGTTTGGCAACATGAAATAAATTGTGTCGTTGATTTAAAAAAATTGTTAAAAATGGCAGAAAACAGAAAAATTACATCTTTTTTTAAAAAAACTAGCGATGGAAATAACGAGATTGAAACTGAATCTGATTCCAGCCCCGAAGTAGAAATAGACATAAGTGAAGTGGAATCGGATATTGTTAAGTACCAAAACATACTTAATACAAAAGAAGACATAAAAAATAGAACCAACATTTTGCTTTCAAAAAAAACTGCAGGAGGATCCCCCGTTTGGGGATACTTCGGGCAAATGGTAGTAAACAAGAAAGTTGTTTTAAATAAATATTATTTGTGCAAATTGTGCTTTGAAGAAACTCCAGTATGTCTTAAAGGGTAAGTTTCAGAATTAACTGTAGCCGTTTCTGTTGAATTTTGAAATACAAACTCTTAACAAAAAATATTTGGTGCTAAAAAATTTTAGCTTTGGAGTTTCCACCTCTACATCCAACCTCAGCAGTCATTTGAGAAACGCACACGATGTGAATATCACATCCAGGTTGTCTGAATTGTCGACTAAAAAGACAACATCCATTATATCTGGAAAAAGAAGTCTTATTGACAATCCAAATTCATCCAAACATAAATTTGCAAATGCACGATTGTTGGTTCAAATGTGTTGCAAAGATTTGCGACCATTTAACATGGTGGAACAGCCTGGTTTCATAAATTATATGAAATCAATAAAACCAACTATTGAAATGCCGACCGCCACAACGTTAAGTAGAACCGCACTGGAAGACGTTTACAAAACTTATGAAAATACCATTAAAGAATTTTTAAAAAACAATAGCCCTAAACACCTGTCTCTTGTGCTGGATATGTGGACCGATTCATATAAACGACGCAGCTATATCAATATTAAAATAATTTTTTGCCACAATTTTAAACCGATATATATATCCCTAAAAACAGAAATTTTTCCACACCCACATAATAAAATAACAATAGCAGAAAACATAAATAAAACATTAAAGGACTTCCAGTTGGAGGATAAAGATATAGTTGTGGTGAGTGATGGTGCTAGTAATATTTTCGCTGCAATGAAATGTAGCGGAATTAAAAGGCTGGGCTGTTCCGTTCACAATTTTAAACCGATATATATATCCCTAAAAACAGAAATTTTTCCACACCCACATAATAAAATAACAATAGCAGAAAACATAAATAAAACATTAAAGGACTTCCAGTTGGAGGATAAAGATATAGTTGTGGTGAGTGATGGTGCTAGTAATATTGTCGCTGCAATGAAATGTAGCGGAATTAAAAGGCTGGGCTGTTCCGTTCACAGTTTGCATCGTCTGATTGTGTACGATATATTGCAAAATCCAAACCTAAGTGTATTCCGTGAAACTGTAAAAAAATTAAAACTCATTTATAAATGTTTAAATTATAACACGGAAAACATATCAAAGATTCAAAAAGTTTTTGAGGATTAGGATATTTTTAAAACCCTTGGTGAAGCCACCGAATTATATACTGCTGTTGAAAATGATGAGCAGTACCAATATTTAATAGAGGAAATTGAGTGCAATTTGTCAAAAAAATCGTTGGGAACTTTAAAAAACTCTAATGATATCCGGTGGAACACATTGTGTTATATGTTCCGGAGTTTTACTCAAAATGAAAAAGTCGTCAACATAGCACTAGTTGAAATAGGCAAACCTGACTTGGCACTCAACCACATGGAAAAATTATTGGTGGTAGAATTTTTAAAATTTTTGGAAGTGTTTGAAAAAGCAACAACACACCTACAAGAACGGAAGTACCCTACAATATCTTCTAACGTTATATTTTTTGAAAATATAACCGATGTTCTTGAAGAAAATTTTAAAACAGCAAATTTTGAAGAATCTTTAAACTTGTACAATTTTGCTATTGAAAATTTTCCGAAAAGATTCAAAATTTGCAGAATACATCTTGTTGCTGCTTTGTTAGACCCCGTTCAAAAGAACTGGGATAGATTAGAGAAGTGGCTGCAAAAAATTTCAGCGAAGGAGGATTCAAATTTGTTCGAGGAACTAAAAGACAATAACGGGGGAATTTCCCGCAGTCAATTAATTTTTAACGAAATTACGAAAATGAATGAAAACTGTGCCAACACGGAAATGCCAACAACATTTCGCATGGCAAAAAGACGGGTAATAATAAATAAATACTTAATTTTAAATATATTTAAACATTATGCTTTTTTAGAAAGAAGATAAAAGTGCATCATATTGGAGTATATCGTCGTTCGTTAAAGCTACTTCCAGTTCTACACAAGATCCTATTCAAAAGGAAATTGCAAGATACTTTGCAGCACCATACGAAGAAAATGAAACTTTTGACTGGTGGCAAAAAAATTAAAAAATAATTTTTGTAACTTTTTATTTTAGAGTTTATTAAAGTATATTGTCTTTTTGTAGGAATACCCCAATGTTGCAAAGCTCGCAGAATATATTCTAGGAATACCATCTACAAGCGCATCCTCCGAAGAGGCATTTTCCAGCGCAGGTTCTTTAATAACCGCAAAGCGGTCAAATTTAAATGGGCTCACCGTTAAACGTGTAATATTCATCCATGATAACTATGATCTTGTCAACCAACTTATAAAAGACTGTTAATTTAAGTATAGGTTTTATTGTTTTCTTTTATGACGTATTTTTTTAAATTGAAGTACCAAAATATAGTTTTTTTTTATAACGTATTTTATAAATTTTGTTTTTTTATAAGCTCATCAAAAAAAGGCTAGCCGATTCGTCTTCGGCTAAAGCCGGCTATCAGCCGCCGCCGCGTATTTTATCATTAGCCGCCGCCGCCGATCAAAATGATCGGCGCAGGTCTCTGCACTGTGCACTGCTGGTGGTGGAGGGTATAATAAAAACCCCACTTAACGATTTCGAAGATTCTTACTACAATAGTTTTCCACATATACAATTTGTTACATATGAGAGATGCCACGCAAATTATTGCAAGTTGAAAAAAATTTGAAGATTCTAGCTCTTATAATTTTAAGATATACAACTTTTTCTATTTAATTCATATGGGGACTCCAAGCCCCAAAATGAAAGTCCGCCTTTTTTCTAAAATGTTCAGATGAATATTAAAGTTCTTCGTGCAAAATTTGAAGAATCTATTAATATGAGTTTCCCAGTTTGTCCGCCCGTTATTAAATGTTCAGTTGAATGTCAAAGTTCTTCATGTAAATTTTGAAGATTCTAGCCCTAATAGTTTCTCAGATATACGAATTTTTGTATTTAATTCATATAGGGGCTCCAAGCCCCTCCAGATGAAAGTCCGCCCTTTTTTCTCCAAAATGTTCTGATGAATATTAAAGTTCTTCCCAGATAAACGAAATTTTGTATTTAATTCATATGGGAGGTGCCTAAGCCCCCATTGAAAGTCTGCCCGTTATTCTTGAAATGTTCAGTTGAATGTCAAAGTTCTTCATATAAAATTTGAAGATTCTAGCTCTAATAGTTTCTCAGATATACGAATTTTTCTATTTAAATGAAATTAAATGAAACAGATGAAGATCCTCCCTGTTTTTTTACAAAATGTTCAGATGAATATTAAAATTTAGTTCTATTTGTTTGCATTATAAACGAATTTTGTAATTAATTTGTATGGGGGGTACCGCTACCCTCATTGGTAGTCCGCCAATTTATAACCCAAAATGTTTACATGGATGTTAAAGTTCTTCATGCAAAATTTTAAGATTCTAGTTGTAATAGTTTCCAAGATAAACGAATTTGTGTATATAATTTATATGGGAGGTGCCACGCCCTCTGCTGCTAGTCCGCCTACTTTTTACCCTAAATAATCATATTGACTCCAAAGTGGCTCCGACAAAATTTGAGGACTTTAACTGTTATATTACCTCAGATATACTGATTCGCCAAATTATATATCAGAAATCGCCAAAAGTCTCTAATTCCAAATTTGTTCTGATTTTTATAAGAATTGATGAAGAACTTTTTGAAATAAAGTATACTTAATGGAATAAAGTATACTCCTGAAGGTTTTTTGCTTCTCCTAAAAAATTTGTTCAATGTAACTTAGAGCTATTTGGATTGCATATGACGATATGTTTTCACATATTTGTATTAGTTTTAGACAAGTTCTAGTCTTTTGTAGCGTACTCTTTAGACGGGTGTAAGGAGTAGTCTGAATTTTCAGAGGAAATTAAAACAATTTTTTTTTTAATTTTGTTAAGAAGTACAAAGTAAAAAGTTAGAAAATTTTTTTAAGTCGGGTTTTCAAAACTGTATTTTTGAGGAATATTGTTGTATTGTTACCAAAAGTCTGGCATTATTACAGCAAATACCCGTTAACAGAGAGCTAACAGAATAGAATAATAATGGATCTCTCCCCACCACTCACTATGAGCAGTTTTACTCTCACTCATCTTTGGTTTAGATTTGTTTTTAACTGTGGGGAGTTGGAGTCTCGTTAGTCGATTAAACGAATCTTAATGTATTTGTTGGATGTTGGTTTTGTATCAGTTGCTGCCGCTGACTAAACGAAACTTTACGACACTTGCACGAGTCCAGTACCAAGTAGTCGCGTGACGCGGCAAAACGTGTTAGCGGTTGAAATTATTTTTACCATTTACTTAGTTTTCTTTATAAACTATCGCTGATATTAAACGTAGTTTTATCTTATATTTTGTTGTTGTTTTTAACTTTTGATTCGGAATAACAATAAGTTTAGTGTTGTGTTTGTTTACAAAATACATTTTGTTCGGTTGTTTAGATCGTAAGAAGAAAAACGAAAAATTTGCCGGTTGTGCGCATGCTCAACAGTGAGTGACATTAAGTGTTTACCTTTTGGTGATTGTGTTGTTGCATTCGAAAGCTTACACTGCGATAACACAACGAAGAAGCATGCAGAACGCATGTATTTAAAAGTTGCAAGTTCCAAAAGAGACCGTGCAACCGTAGCGCAGAGAGATAATAAACAAATAACGATTATAACATTGATTTGTACACGGCGATGCGATCAGTTGAAATGAAATTACTTATTGTTTATTACAGATGATTGTGTGTAAAGTGTTGCTTGTACAATTACTACCAGTAATAATAAATAGTACGCCCGTCTGCCCGCCCGTCCGCTATAACTGTTACTTATAGTGTTCATGCAACAAACAGTTGAGTGTTAGACGAAAAAGTGTTGCGTGTATAATTGTGTGAATTCGTTTGAAAGTGCTGCACACACAAATAGTATAAAAAATATAAAAAAGAAAAAAACAATAACAACAAATGCATGTGTATTCACATTAATTGGTGATTATCTGTCATAGTAGAGAAAGATGTGCATTCAACGTATGTAGAAACAATTTTTATTACAATTACAACAAAAATAATAATAACAATATCCAGAACGACGACAACAACGTAGAAAATAAAGAGCCCAGTATTTGAGATGTAACATGTGCGGGAAAATAAATTGTTGCACGACGGAATTTCCAACCATTATCAGTGGAGGTTTTTGCTGAGTTGCAATCAAATCATTTTTGTACATTGTTGTTGCTTTCCTAGAGATTTGCCCACGCCACAACAGAACTACTTACATACTATAAATGAAATACAAAAACAAATAATATAAAATAAAAACAAACTAAACCAAGTAGAGGTGCAAAAGCTCATCTAAGGTGTTACCCGGTGTTGATGAATGCTTGCACGCCGTCACCATGGCATCAAATGTCGTTTATTCTGACAACTGACACATCTTGAACAGCATAACGAACTACGAACACGGCCGTACGTTTGCGGATAAGCCAGCAGAGAACAAGTGATTTTGCGCGCTAGGGTGTGTACTACTGACAATTGTAAATGCTCTAGTGCGGTGGTGTCTGTCGCCCAATTAAATTGCCATAAATAACACACACATTGTAACTTGGCACTATCGGATGTGCACAGCTTTTTTTTCTAATTTCATTCGTTGTAAATGCTTACAAACCTATTATTGTTGTTTGATTTTGGGCATGGCATCTAGAGACAAAGTGACACAGTAAGAAATATAAAAAATATATGTATATAATTTTATTTACACTGCAATTTCGAAACTGCCACAATATCACACTCTCACGCATTTGTTTTATGCAGCGTTTGAACCCGATCAGCCGGATGTGTTGTGCTGGCTTTTCCACGGGTGGTGTCAATTAGAGACAATTGAAAATCTGATTTGGATTAAGTACGCAGATTTCATACGCAGTTTTTCTATTAGTTTTTTTCTCATTTAAACATTCAATGCTTGGGATTTTTTTGTGCGGAGGATGGCCATGCCAGTGCTTTATCGTGAAAAATAAAAACAAAAGACTTAAAGAATCGTTTGTTTCCGAAGTGTCCTATGTTTGTCTATTGTGTGTATCATTTTCGTTTGTTTGTTTTTCAAGTAAATATCGTTAAAATAATACTTCCCAAGAAATTGTGTTACGCGCAAAAATCGTAATATATATTAGTTTCTATGTGCATACCCACATGTCGGTTTATATAGTGTAGCTGTAAGTAAATTGGGAAGTTTGCACAACGTGTATGTTTTTGGTGTTGCATACAACAAGTAGCGCGTAAGCTTTCTGCTTCATAAATTTTTAGTTTATGGATTTAAAGAAGACGCGCTTGCGCTATGCCTGTATCGAGAAAGCAACAACATCAACAATAACAAAAAAGAAATAACTGCCTACCAACATAAAGCATAATACATATTTATAATAACAATATAAATTAAGAATCGTTGCTATTTCCATTGCCCCGTTGTGTTGCCGCCCTAGTTGAACGTCACGCATTGTAAACGCCAGCGTATCCCACATACGTACGAAAACGTATTGTTCGTATCATTTCTCCGCATGTGTTGTGATATTAAGTTGGATTTTGATTTGTACTTGCACAATTTTTGATGAATTTTTATTATTTCTACACATTTTTTTTTAAATTTTGCTGTGCACAATTTTGTTGTTGCACACACACTCTTTGCGGCGTTGAGAATATGTTTCGGTGAACTGTATCAAAAAATACTGTTGATGCAAGAAAAGTGAAAAATAAAATTTAGATGGATGAACGTATATGATCGTGTATGTGAATGTGTTGCTATAATAATCATAAAGAAAAACTAAACAAAACTTGCAACTGCTGTAAGTTAAATGTGAGTGTTTGTCGTGGATGTTTGCAACATCATACAAACAAATAATACATATATACATACATAAGGTGATTGTTGAACGAACATACAGACAATAGTTAAATGTATGAAAGAAATTAAAAGAAAATCGTAAACTATTTTAACTAACAACAACAACATCAACAATAAGGAAAGTGTTCAACAGTTGTCATTGCATTAAAAGCAACATTTATTTCTTATTACCGCTGTTGCACCGTGCTCCGTGCTGCATGCATGCATTACATCAGTTTTGTGTATTTTTTCTTTGCTATTCTGTTATAGTTTGCCAAATAGCACTCATTGAAGAATTACCTACCAACAGCATTTGCAACAATAATAAGAGCAGCCGCATATTGTCGCTTTAACAAAATACAAACAAACTGCAATAACAACTGCCACCGCCAATACGATCAACAAAACACAAAAAAAAAAAACAATACTTAATAGTAATCTTCAATTGTCTTCATCAAAGAAAAAATAAAAGAAAAAAACACACTAAGCTAAATCGGTGCAACAGTTTCAAATCGGCAACAGGCGGCAGCAATCATTATTTTGTAAGCTGTTTTACAATTTAATGGTTTTCATGGTAAGATTTTTTTTAAAGTTCCATACAAAAAATATCCCAACCATATGGTGACATACATTTAGCCAAATCAGAAAAAACAACAATAAAAATAAAACAAATAGTACCTATTTACAACAACTACCACTATTCCGTACGAACAATATGCAACAATAATGCAACATAACATTATTTAACTAGTTTATAAGTTAAATTTTTCTTTCTTTCATTTAATGTTTTTTTTTTTTTTTTGTCCAGAAAAGAAACTAAATCAAAACCCTTTTAAATATTTGTTTTTCATATTAGAGGGTTTAATCTTAGTCATTAAACGGCACCAACATATCGTTGTAAAGCCTTTCTGGTATTATAAGTAAAATCATCAAGTTTAAAGACTTGAGAGAACATAAGAACTTTTTTTATTTATTTCTAAAAATAAAACTTGGAAGTTAATCAGACATCGGATTTGATTAACTCCACTGTATCTGATGATTAGTTTGCGATGCTCATGCAAATTAACTGATGCTCTTTTTATGCACAGATCGATCGGTCCATAATTGACCATTCCTTCTGTAGAAAATGACATTATTGTCAATTAAAAAAAAAATTATTAATTATTTATTATTCTCAAAAATTGATATATAATTGACTCAAATCCCTATGAAAGGTCCGCTTTTAAAATTAATTTTATACGACTTACCCCCATTTTCACCACCTCCAGTTATCGTTTAACTGGTAGTTATTCTTTCAGTTAAGACAATTTTTGTATGAGAACTGCCAATACAACAATTATAACTGAACTTGGTGAAAATGGGGGTTTTTAAGGTAAGATTAAAAAAAAACAAATTGAAAATAATATAATTTTATTTAGATTCTAAAAAACTAAAGTTCCGACAATTGATGTTTATAAAAAAGTTCTCCTATATTCAACCAAATAGATTTAATAATCAATTGTAAAAGTAAAACTTGACAACTTTTACATCACTTATGTTGAAAGTATTTAAAATAATTGTAAAATATTATAAACATTCACATCTGCAAACACACATATGTACCATTCCTATAGTTACGCATACATTGAAGTAATGTAAAATAGTCATTACCTGGAGGCCATAATTTTAATTAATATTTCGCACTTGTTTGTGTGATTGTGAGTTTAAATGTACAACTGACAGTACGTTAACAAACCATGTGGGGCTACCTGTTGCCCCATAGTTACTAACACATAAATAGATTTACTTGCAATGTTGCACATTAAGTCACTCACTAACTTCGTTGTTATTTCGTTGTAAGTTAAAATCTAAAGCCATTACAATTACATAAATACATATATTTAGTATGAGAGTGGATGTACTTGCTGTGTATTGCATTGTATGATTATATACAAGGTACAAGGAGTATTTACCATGATTTTAGTTAAGGAGTTTAGCTAACATTCGGTATTTTTATAGCTGGTGTGCAAATAGTTTTGGCGCCGAATAAGATGTAAGTAATGTACTTTACAATTATGTCTTGTAACGTCAGCCAAAAGATAAACTTTCTGTCACTTTTATGTTGCAGTGAGTGATTTGTGAGAATGGTTCACTTTTAGTTTTTCGTTAGCTACAAATACACTAATAAATGTACAAACAGTATATATGTACATATCTGTACCTGCAGGAGTAAGTTATGACAACTAAAATCTCAGTATTTTACTGAAAGTAATATTTTTTATTGTAAATGCATTTTTCATTCTTTTGTTTCTTTCGCATTAAGCAATGTACAAGATCATAATAGAAATCATTTGGAAATACATAATTTGATTTTGGCCCGCGGTTACACTCGGACAAAGCTAAATTAATTCAAGGATTTTAACTTTTTGACTCGTGAATTATAAAATCGTCTTAAATAATGATATTTTGGATATTAATTTGACTTTTCACTATGAGACTTTACGTACATACGACTTTACGAATGAAAAATCAAATGAAATTTCATTCGTATTTTAAACAAGTAAGAGTGTTATATTCGGCAATGCCGAATCTTATATACACACCATCAAATCATTGCCGAAGAGGAATGCTTCCTTATAAATAAATTTTGATATATACGAATCGATGCTTTTATTATTGAAAAAATTTTGTAATTTATTAGGTCTATGTTGAATTTTATCATCATATATCGATATTAATATGAACATCAGGTTAATATTTGGAAGAGGGTCTTTATGAAGGCATAAGTATGGACCGTGTTTTAAAAACAAATCGTTTTTGTCCATTTTTTATAGTATATTTTTTAGGATAGAGTCAATTATAGACCTATTCTCAACGGTTTAGACAATAATTATTTGTTCGAATTTCATTGCGGTACTTGTAAATTGAATTCAGTTATGAGGTTTAAAGTTATCGACCGATCCTCATCAAATTCAGTCGAAAAATGTCAATTCCTATAAAACTATGTTTCGTAAATAAGTTGTTTATTACGAATTTTATCGCCGTCGTATTTTTAAGTAGATAATAAGATTTAAAGAAATTTTCTGAAGTGGTCCTTAAGTGGGGGGTAGGATTAGTTACTGATCCATCTTCATTAAAATCGGTAGAAAAATTTCAGTTCCCATCAAACTTGTTAATGTCGAATGTCATCGCTGTACTCGCATTTTTGAGCCAGTAATGAGCATTAAAGTTATTTTCGGAAGGAGACCTTATACGGGGGGTAGGGTGAATTATAGATCGATCCACATAAAAATCGGTAAAGAAATTTTGGCTAGCGAATTTTATCGCTATATTCGCATTTTTAAGCCAATAATGAGCGTTAAAGTCATTTTCTAAAGGGGACCTTAATAAAATTTGATAGAGAGATTTTGGCTTATATGAAACTTATTTATGTAGTATTTTAAAAACAGTAATGCCAGTTAAAGCTGTTTTTCGGGGGTCCACTTGTTATCCACTTGGCTATCCGAAAACGTGGACCGATATTGCCCATTTTCAATATCAAACAATACCATACCAATAAGGAATATTTGTGCAAAATTTCAACCCTCTACCCCTTTCCGTTCGGCCTCAATCGTCTAGATCGTCTTAAATTTTAATAAGAACCAGAGTGAGTTTATGACCAATATTTCGATGTGTTTTGATTGTGAGTATAAAAAGAGAATAAAAGTCGTATGATTTATATTTTTTTTGCATTTACACTATTGGTATAACACAATAAAAAAGTAAGATGGAAACAGCAGCTTAATTTTTTATGTGTTTACATAAAAATACATCCCTGATCTAATGAAACTTTCTTGTTTTTTAATAATTTCAAAAAATGAAGAGAGCCATACGACTGTAAAATTTTTCATTCGTATTCTCTCTCATGTGTGATGGCATTATTGCATATTGCATTTTGACTATCCCATCCGTTCTCTTCACAAAATTTTGACAGATTATATTACTTGTGGTATAATTAAATAATTTCACAAGTTATTTTAAATAAACTTCTCTAGATTGGATAGCGGGGTAAGAAGAAAAATGACAATATAAGAGAAGTTTGGATAATTTTATTTATATTATAATTAGAAATGCGTGCGGGGAAAAGAGAAGAAAACAAATTGGAATTAATAAAGTATAAAATATTTTTTCTTTTCAATTATAAAGAAAGGGTTTAAAGGGAATGAGGATGCTTACCTTTATCTCCACTTTTGCCAAAGGAAAAGAGTTTGATGGTTTTGTTTTTACAAACTTTATTTTTTTCACAGGAGGAGAAAGTTGTCTTGACTCTTTCGAATGGTAATTAGCAAGTGAAGTTTTATTTTAAGTTTAAGAAACGCGAAACTTCTGTTTTACAATAAAACAAGTAGGAAAGTATAGTCGGGCATGGCCGACCATATAATACCCTACACCATGAGTATATTTTAAAAATTTTTATTTTTCACAAAGAAACTTTTATGTTGAATTTTATGTTAATTCCAAAGTATTTAAGCAATTTATTGATAAAAAAAAACAATTTTCTAAATGAGGCTTTATATAGGAGTATAGGTCAAACATGGGCCGATCCTCATTAAATTTGGGAAATGGATATATTTTTAAATAATAGTTAATTATGTTGAGTTTCATTGCGATACAAATGGTTACAAGTCAATTTTAGACGTTTAAGACATTTTTTGAAGGGGGGTTTGTATGGGGGCTAGGGTCAAATAAGGGCCGATCATTACGAAAATCTGCAGTGTCATTTATACTTATATGAAACTTATTTGTGCCAATTTTTAGAGAGATAATAGTATATTTGACGTAATTATATATATTATTAATTATATTTTGAAGGTGGCTTTGTATAGGGGTTAGCATCAAATGAGACCCTATAATTATATAAATTAAAAAATGACTCTCATCAAGGCTAGTATAGAATTTGATTTTGCAGCTTTTTGTCCAGATACGAGTATATTAAACATAATTATGAACTTAAAAGCCCTATTCGACGGGTTCAGTTGTATGACGCTAGGTGAAATAACGGACCGATGTTAACCATTTTCAAGCTTCGTCTCCGGTACCATATGTGCCAAATTTCATTGAATTATCTTCAAAATTGCGACCTGTAGTTTGATTACAAGGTTTACATGGACGGACGGACATAGCTAAATCGACTCAGAAAATGATTCTAAGCCGATTGGTATACTTTAAGGTGGGTATAGGACCAATATTATTGTGCGTTACAAACATCAGCACAAACCCAAATATACCCTCTCCACTATAATAATAATTATTATAGGACGAATATTTTTTTATGTTACATAAATCAGCACAAACCCAATATACCCTTCCCATTAAAGTGGTGTAGGGTATAAATATCGCGATTTTAAAATTGAAAAATATGTTAAAATTTCCTAAAAGTACATACTTTGAAACTACATAACTCTGAAACTACTTAAAGTCCGGCATAATTTTTGATTTCATATTAAAGACAAAGATATTGTCTTTGAAATCGTGTAAATAGAATTTTTTACTTCCGAAAGGTTAAAGGTCAATTTTCATAGTACATATTGCAATGTCAAATAGGTCAGACAGGCC